CATGTTGGGAAAACATTATAATTCTCTTAAAAAGGATGTCTGAATAATCTTAGCTAATGGCAGTAAACCTCAGTAGAGGAATTTTAGAGTAAATTTTGGCTTTTCTTGCATTGTTCCCCTTGGTTTTTTTTTTTTATTTTTATTTTTTTTCGGGGTTTTCCGTTTTCAAAAAAGGGTATTGTCCTGACTTAAAACGAAAATGATTTAGCTACCAGAGATCTACTCTTTTGTAAAGAGTAGGCGCTGTTTGCTTGTTTGTTTGTGTATGTGTATTTAAACCATATATCAAGCCTTATAAGAGTTAGTGTTTTAACGCTAACTTTGAATTCTCTGCAGAATGCTTAGGTCATTAAATATGAAATGTCTGATTTCAGATCAAAAGTGTAGTTTGTTATATCTCAAACAAGAAGCAGTACAATTAATCAAAGTACGCACCTAAACTATGGACACAGTTTTGCCTTCTTAACAGTAGCTTGCTCATGTCAGCAGTGAAGAAGCCTGGAGAGTGAGTTTCCAAGTCCAGCTGCTGTAGTTTGAGGAGCGTTCGATGTTTGTGCGACACGTGGTCAAGCACTGTCTTGCAAGAGGACTGGCCTGTCTCTATTGACCAATCTCAGCTGCTTAATCACAAGCATCCTCATCATTTCATCCAATTGGCTGCAATGGACATCGGCTATAATCAATTGACCAGGTTTCATGAAGACGTAGTGGATAATGGCAGCACTGGACCACTAAACAGATACCATGCAGCAGTTTTTGATGAATATTCAGTTTTGGACTGTGTTTCTGCACTTCATCTTTATCCACCCATTTTGCCAAATGCTTGTGATTGTCAAAAAGAATCCATTTTTCTTCACATGTAACAATACAGCGTAGACATGGTTTGCCTTTATGTCGTGACAGCAAAGAAAGACAAGCTTCGAGACGATTTCTCTTCCAATGCTTGTTTAAGTCAGGTGGAACCCATCTATCCAGCTTCTTTACCTTGCCCATTTGTTTCAAATGGTCCAATATTGTTGGGATAGTAACGTCAAACCTTGCTGCTAATTCATGCATAGGTTGAGATGGATTCTTCGCTTCCACTACAGCTTCAGCTCATCATTTTCCACCTTGGTCTCAGGTCGCCCACGGCGCTCATTTTCAAGATTAAACTCACCATAATGGAACTTCTCAAACCATCGACATACTGTGTGTTCATTAACCACATCCTTCCTAAACACTTCATTGATACTTCGAGCTGTCTGGGCTGCATTGGTTCCAGATCATATTAGAAAATAACTCAAATTTTTGATGTAACCATGGTTTCACAAAAATTGCTCTAAAATTTTTTTTGAAAGATAATTACAAACCAAAACATGTGTTTGAAAAGATGAAGATGTACCTTCACAATGAAAATAAAACAAGAAATGTCAAAGATATTAACTGTCAAACGGTACTCAAGGAAATCTGATATTTCATATTTCATAACCTAAATATCATAGCCTTGACCAGAGCTGGCATGAATTGGCATAAGTTCCCAGTTCTTTGGGGATAATGGTTCAGTGGAAAGACTTAAAGAGGATGGCTCACTGGAGGGACAAGAAAATGGATGGGAGGAGAACTCTTTTGCCAACATAAGCAAAATCTATATTCATTTGTAAAACATCTCTGACCCTCTTCTACACAAGAGACCTGTTCTCTCTTGAATTTGAAGTTCAAAGCTCAGCATGAGCGCCAGACATCCCACTTTTATTTACTTTTCACTTGGAAAGGACAGGTTAAGACATAAGCCAAACCAGAAAGGAAAACTAAATATTAATATCTGGAGCCTCAACTGCAAAGAGTTCAAATTGCTAATGAAGTCTAGATTCATATGCTTTAAAAAACCAACTTGAGGGAAGACAGAGTTAATGTTCTGTGATGAAAATCGAGTCTGTCCTTGGCCCATGTGCCATGCTAGGCCAGGCAAGATCTTGCTCAGACAACAGCCCTCGCTCTCAGTCTGACACTTAGAGTCACCTGGGAGCTTCTAAAAGTGAGACCCACGGGCGGTGTTGCAGACTGATCAAATCAGAACTGCCTGGGTGGGATGTAGTGTCACTGTTTGCAAAAATCCCCAAGTCGCTCCATTGTGCAGCCAGGATTAAGCCAGGGCCAGAGCGTGGCCTTAGTGAGTTCCAGGGCCAACTGCCCTGAATTCACACGGATGCTGACTGTGAGGGGCGTCAGAGCTGTGCCCACTTCCCTACTCAGTGGCTCATCACTGACTACCCAGGTACGTCTGCGAAACACCACCCAAACACGCCGACACTTGGGCTCACCCCAGACTTTCTACTTCAGAATCTCTGGGGCTCTGCTTGTCATCGACAGGACCAGGGGGTTGACTGGTCTTCAACAACCTTTCCATTTTCAAATTATATGATCCCATACAAGGCTTTGATCAAAATAAATTGATAACAGTAATGGAGAAAGGAGACTGTGAATGATAAAGGAACCCACCTACATTCGATCATATCTGATTATCTTCCAGGGGTCCTCAAACTTTTTAAACAGGGGTCCAGTTCACTGTCCCTCAGACTGTTGGAGAGTGCGCACTGTGGGCCCCGGAGAGAGTCGGCTGCTAAGCTGGACAGGCAGCAGCTGCAAAAACACCCGGAGGGCTGGATAAATGTGCTAGGCGGCCCACATGTAGCCTGTGGGCCGTAGTTTGAGGACGCCTGTTTTAAACGCTGGGTACCTGCAACCATCAGACATGCACGATACTAGGGAGAAACACGGGAGGAGCTTGGGGCGTCTTGTGGACTATGAACCACACTTAGTTGCAGGACATTTTCTGATCTTGCTGCAAGGTCATGAGTTCAGTACACTGCAGATTGATCGGGGCAGCTGGAACCTTCATTTGACTACAGGCATCGACCTATATCCTCAGTTAATGTTCCTTTTGACCTTCGAAAGAATGAGAGTGAGCTATGCCCCATCTCCCCTGAGCTGCTGTGGAAGTGCCTCTTCTCCACCACCAGGGTGGTGCTGGCAGAGATAAACGTTGAGCAGCGAATGTAAAAGTGCTGGTTGTTTGTATCCTCTGTGGCCCAGGCTGGAGGCTGGGCACCCTTGTTGGTTTGCCAACGTGGCCTCAGGGGGGCAGCATAGCCCAAGGCTCTTCATGGCTTTGCAGGCCTTGCCTTTGAATCTAGCTTTAAAAAGACTCACAACGTAATGAGTGAGATGTGCAGTGTTTGGAGAATGGTCACGCTTGAAGCTCTGACTAGAGAAGGGCAGGGAGGGCAGGGGCAATACCCCCATAAAATGTAACCCATAATATACTGAAATTAAAAAAAAAAAGACTCACACTCTTCCCACGTGTGCTTTAGAGAACTAATGACCACCTAAAGACACAAAAATAAGTCCCTGAAAGATGGCAGAACACAGAACTTATGATCAAACAAGTAGTAACAGTATGAAGCCAAATATAAGACTTGTAAAAATGCTTATTACAAAGGACTATATATTATATAAATATATAATGTCACATGACATGCATTACATATATTTATATATAATTGAAAATATTAAATTTTTACTATACTTTAGAAAAATACAAGCGAGACTTTTTAAGTCAATTTTATTTCAAAGCAAAGGAGCTCTGGAAATGCTTTCATGTTTTTGCCTCTTCTGTTTACCCTAACACCTGAGGGTTGGGGAATGTTAGCAAACTAAGAGGAAGAGCAGTTAGAAAGTTCATGACTTGTTCACATTTCCACTTCACGTTCCTGCTCACATTTCCAACTTCTAGCCTCCAGGGTAGCTGGTGGTAAGTCTTATGCCTTCATTAGAAGAGTCAACACTTGAAAGTTATGTTCGTGTTTGGGAGCCTGTCTCTCTCTTGATAGAGAATAAATGGCTTGTAAATTTAACCATCACGTGGAAAGACCAGTGCATTTTAATTTAGTCAGAGCTGTTTAAACTAAGGACCCCTGGAATACAAATGTGAATGGAATCCCAATGTACGGATTTGCACATTATTTCTCCTTGGCATGTGTGTAACCCCCTATTTGACAGGGGCCTCTGGGTCGAGGCAGTAGGGTACCTTCACCCTGGGGTGGTGAATGGAATCAGATCCTGAAGGTCATAGTGCGATTGAATTCCAAGAGGAAAGGAGCAGGCGTCGGGAGATGACGGCATGAGCCTTGCGAAGCTGCTGACGCTTCTGATAGCTTTTCTGCATGCTAAGATCGGATGCATTTAGTAAGATGGAAAGGGGATAAGGAACTCGTGCATATATATCAGCCATAAAAATCTGCACCTTTCGACTACCCCATGGCGTTACCTTCTCCCCATGGGGTGGATCTCCCATAGGCTCTCGTGTCTGCTGCCCACGGTCTACTCTGGGAGGTGAATGCACTGCACACCGAAAACCAGCATGTCCCCAACTGTGAGTGCGAGCACCTGGAGCACCTGTCCTCTCACAGGACAAGAGACACATGCACAGAGATCGACTGGACACCATTGTCACCACTGCAATCAGAGGCAAGTTTTGGGGCAGGCTTTTAAATGAAAGGAAAGCAATGTCATCCTCATGCGTCACGTGCCTACAGCTCAGGACTGCAGGTAAGTGACTTTGCAGGCTGTGACTTTGCTCGTCTTCTTCATTTTCATCCATAGACGACTGACTTACAACATCGATTCTCTCTTTTAAAACATGTCAATTATTTTGTTTGAGCAGTAGAATTAAAATTTGAAATTGAAAAGTTTTCAGATCCATTGCCCAGAAACCCTACTCTTAGGGTAAGTAGCATCTTTAAATACAAATTATTATGGCAACTTTCTCAGGAAGAGGGTCAACTTTTAAAATTGTTTAAAAGGAAATACAAAAATACAATTCTCTCTATATATGCACACATACGTACGCACACACACACACTAAGGAAGTTTTCCAAAATATCTACTTATAAAATGCGTTGTCAGCTTTATGTGCTAGTCTCCAAATGTACACTTGAGTGAAAGAACAAGAATACAACCAATTATTTTACAGGGTGGTTTTTATTAGATGCATATTTTCTTCTGAGTGATTTGTAAATTTCTAGATACATAAGAATACACAAATACCCACCAGCATGTCAGCGTATCCTTGACCAGATCCAGAGGCTAGGGTCCTAGGCTACTCCCACACTCTCAGCAACCTTGACAACAAAGTGAAAGGCAATTCCATCTATTTGCTTCCTGACAGCAGCCACAAGGCTCACCTTTCATGCTCAGAGCGTGAGAGAAGTCAGTAACACCTCATATTATTCTGACACCTGCACTTCCTCAGTGATGATCACCACTTTGTCTCTTCACCTAATCCGTGCTACGGTGGCTTTAGCTGCCCTCCAATTCAAAACAATCTCAGGTATGTGCACAATCATATAAGAAGCAACACACACACACACACACACACACACAAAACAGTCCTAACTCTCCCTTTTAAATGAATAAGTCCCTTAGTGTTTGGGTGCAGTTTGTCTGGAGAAGGCATCTAGAAAGAGTATCTAAAGCCCCCACACTCAACCCAAAATGTGGAGGTTGGTAAATTGTACTTTTCGTGGGTTTTAAAGCTCAAGGCAGCTTGTTTCCAAATGAATGTGTTCCCTCCCCCCTTTGCCTATTGATAGTAAAATCCAGAAAACCCACCGTGGTGTGCCCTGGGCAGGCAGCATGCCAGTCTTTCTGGTTGCCCTCGTCTCTTTGGGGCCTCTTTGCTCAATGCTTACAGAACTCTGGATTTTAATAGACTATGTAGTCAATCCTCAGTTAGATCTCACATGTGATCTGAAATAAGTTCCTTGACCTCACGCTCATGTATTCATAAATCTAGTGTTTCAAAGCTTCCTGGTGACCCCTTGCTATTCGAGCTGGGATGAAAAGGACTAGACTGAAGGCCTTCAGTGAAAGACAGTGGGGGTTTCTCTGTTTAAGGCTCTGTTCAAGCTCAGAAAGCCAGGCTCATCCTCCTACACCAACCCCTTTTCTTCTTGACCTAAACCTCTTCCTCCTCCTCCATCTCTTCCAGTCCGCAGAGTTCTCACCTGGTCCTAAAAGTGGGTGGAGTTCATTAAACATAACTTGGAGGGGAAATTACAAGTGAAAGACGTCATTTCTTAACTAATCACATTCATGTCTTTTCTCCCATAAAGCAAGACAAAGACCTGTTTTAAGCACATTTACAACTTGTATATTGATTGCCTTGCTATATAATACATTCCTCAATGAATTTCGTTATTTCTATTCAGGTAACTAAATGCAAAAATAAGGAATTCTCTAAGGATTTTTTTATATATACATATAGTGAACTTTTGCAGTGGAGGCAGAGTTTGCCAATAACTTGATGTAGGTGGAGAGGAGATGAGAAGGTTACTATTTCATCAACATATTTTGATTTGACTGTCTAGAATTGATGGACTTAAAAGATCTAATACACTCAACTCAGTTGCCAAATAGATGGATGAATCTTAGACCCTCTATGACAGCAAACTTCCGTTTTGAAAGAACCTCTCCCACCCCAGGATGTGTGTAAAAACCGAGTCCTGTGCACAGCTGGGTACTGGTCATAAGCCAACTTGAGTCCAGGTCACAAGCCCACAGATATTTCCTGGTCCCCGGTGGACCGGGTGTAAACTGAGCTTGCTCGCTCAGGGATCTCTCGCTGGAAGATCGGACAGCACTTGCAGAAGGGTTTGGCGATGTGCTTGTGGAAGAAGACTAAGAGGTAGTTTCTGAACTTCTCCCCGACGAAGGCGTAGATGACAGGGTTGATGCAGCAGTGTGTCATCCCGAGAGTCTCTGTCACCTGCATGGCTTGGTCCAGCCTGTTGGAGCTCCTGCAGTTATTCAGGCCAAAGAATTCCGGGAAGGTGCTGAGCAAGAGGACAATGTTGTAGGGGGCCCAGAAGAGGAAGTACACAATCATGATGGCGAAGATGAGCCTCACAGCCTTGTGCCTCTTCTTCTCGTTTCGACACCGAAGCAGGGTTTTCAGGATCCCCGAGTAGCAGATGACCATGACGAGCAGGGGCAGGACCAGGCCCAACACGAGCATCTTTAGCGTCTGAAAGTTCTTCCAGAATTGATACTGACTGTGTGGAAAATGAAGGCTGCATGTGTGCCGAAGACCTTCTTTTTGAGATCTGGTAAAGATGATTCCTGGGAGAGAAGCTAACACAGCTACTATCCAGGTGACCCCACTTGTCGCCACCCCAAAGGTGACCGTCCTGGCTTTTAAAGCAAACACGGCGTGGACGATAGCCAGGTACCTATCGATGGTCAGGAGGATGATGAAGAAGACTCCAGAGAAGAAGCCTATAAAATAGAACCCTGTCAAAAGCTGACACATGGTGTTTCCAAAGTCCCACTGGGCTGCGGCGTAGTGCGCCCAGAACGGGACGGTGAGCAGGAAGAGCAGGTCGGAGATGGCCAGGTTGAGCAGGTAGATGTCCGTCATGCTCTTGAGCTTCTTGCAGTTTATCAGGGTGAGGACGACCAGCAAGTTGCCCACAAGCCCGATGATGAACACCAGCGAGTAGAGCGGGGGCAGGAGCTGGGCTGCGATCTGCTTCACGTCGCTTTTTTGGCAGGGCTCTGACATATCATAATCAATGTCATAGAGCGGACTTGACACTTGATAATCCATCTTGCTCAGCCCTGTGAACAAAGAAAAAGTGATCTTTTATAAAGTCCTAGAATGCATGTATTTAGCGGTCTGCCATGAATGCAAACTATTTTGTACTTTAATGAGTTTTGAATTTGATAGACAGATGTCTACATTTAACTTAGCTCCCTTTTGGGGGCAAGTAACAACCTTTTGTAGCAAAGAGAAGATTTGCTGCTAGCTCCTCTGCTCACCAGATGGAGAACTTGACTCTGTTGAGAACGTTTATGAAAGCACCGTCTCACCAAATAAAATCTTGTTTTTATAGCGATACGGAATGAATGAAGCTTTGATAACAATTTTAAGAAACTGCGTTAGGCACAGTGCAATCACAGTCTTATAATTTATATTGAAGCTGCCATTCCCTGGAATTAGGCCACAAAGAGCATGCCCCATGAGCCAGCCAGTGGTAATTAACAAGGGCATGTACTGCAAGCCAACCACTGTCCTAAGCTTCATACCCATTCATTCATTTATTCCTCAAGGCAACCCTATGAGGCAGGTAATATTGTTCACACTTTGCATACAAGGACCCTGAAGCATAGAAAGGATGAGTAACTTGCCTGAAGCCACACCACTCGGAAGCAACTGATTTTGAATGCAGGCAGCCTGCACTCTTAACCATGATGCTACCCTGTCTCTCACTCCTTGGTAAGAGAATCAAAGAGCAGGACCATCATGAAGCCTGGTGCCCCGATGTAGTCAGAGTGAAATGGGCCCAAGTCCCCCAAGGTCATAGACATGAACAGCCAATTGTAAAATCCTCACATTTTCTCTGAAGTCTGTGTTTGTAGTTCCTGAGCTGCCACAATAAGGGCTCTCCTACAAACACAAGAAATGGTCCAGTGGAAAGTGTTTCTTTAGCCACCGTTAGGCAGATGTCATGCATGCTGAGTAACTTAGCCCTATGACCAGCTGGCTTGCCTAGTCTACTTAAGTCCCACTGCTGTAGCTGAGAATTTTCTCTAATGAATCCTTGTGAGTCTCAAACTCTCTGCATCTCAAATTAGGCAGCTGGAAGAAACACCCAGAAAATCTCACCTTTAAATTCTGAGCTATAAAGAATCATATACTAAATGTGCTGTGGAACTGATATATTACAGTGAAATTTTACTTGATGTTTGTAATTTGACATTAATTTGCATGATGTTTAGGCTTCCCTCTTGTCTGGGGGAAAAAAGAGAAACAGACTTAGACACAACTTGATGTGGGTGTATGTTCAGAAGCAACCCACTGGAGAGATTTTCGTTCTTCTTAGCAGAAGGTAATCTCTGCCAAGATTTCAGCCAAGACTCATCTCTCTGAAAATCTTTCTTTTGAGAGGGGAAGATCGTTCATTTGCTTTTAAAATAATATTGTTCCCTCTAAAGTCTTTCACTCACAACTGTGTTTTGTATCTTTGATGTTATAACAGCCTGAAGCTCATTCTAAACTCTGACCTTTTCCTTATCTTAAAGATTATACTTTAAGATAATTCCCTGGGCACCTGCTGTTTGCCAAATGCCTTCTATGAGTTTCCTGTACGCTTTTACTCATTTCAGAAGCCGAGCTAATTAATCAGCCAAGTGGCTGAGAGATGACTTACCGGGGAGAGTTTCTTGTAGGGAAACGGATGTCTTAGCTCCTCTGGCCAGCTGAGCTGTGCAAATCAAACATACAGAAAGCATACAAGTAGGAAATGCACAGTTTCTTTTGAAGGAGGGCGGAGTTAATGAATAAGTGTATTGCAAGGGGAAAAAAATCAGAGAACAGTTCTTCTTTTTTTTTTTTTGAGTTGTGCTTCAAATAGGCTAGAAAATAGATCTCTGGTTTGAAAGTTTATTCATGGGCTTTCCTCATTGGATTATTTTGTTTTCATTCTCTGATCATTCAACTGTACAGATGTTAGAAAATTGAAAACATTAAAGGATGTTAGAGCTAGAAGAACATTTACATCTATCTTGTCAAAAGCCCATATTTTAGCAGAAGAAATGACTGTCCAAGAGGCAAATGAATTTGTACGTGACCACAGAGCTTATCAATGGTAAGGCTAGAAGGGTGGGGCGTTCTGATTTTCTCAAGAGTTGCCCTCAAAGCCAACTCAAACCAAGTTTAGGTGTATAGGGGCTCCTCTACTTCACATGCACCCCCCACACCCCTTTACATACTTTCCTCCCATCCCCCACCCCACCCCACTCACACACGTATGTATGTTCACCACCCAGTATTATTTTTCTCTATAACCTAAAACAACTGGTTTTCTAAAGGGCTTTAACTATGGTTTCACCTGTGAGCTAACCAGTTTTCCCATATTTCCCTGGATTAGGTATGGGGGGGAGACATATCATTATGGATTTTCACTCTATTCACGAGTGAAAATTTTGTGGCCCTCCAAACCCATCAGCATTTATGAGCACCTACACCATGCGAGATGTATAGGTGGCAGAAATTTTTTACTCCAAGGATACAATCTATCTGGAGCTATGAGACACTTTCCATGTGTAACAGGCAACAATTGACAGAAGTATATATCCAAGTTCAGGCTTATATGACAATGCTATACGCAGTCGTCTCAAGCTCTCTTGGTGGTTGGTGACTTATCTAAAAACCTCAACGAGTGACAACAGAGCTGAGAACACAGCAGAGAGCTGTGCCTGAGCCACAAGAGCCCCTCTGGGCTTCCGTTACCTCAGCTGTAGAATAGGAAGCTTTGCTTGTGATCTCTAGGAAGGCAAAGGGGACCCCAAACAGCACATTTGCATGTCCCCAACCTGGGGAGGCAGCTAAAACAGGGGTAAACAAGAAGCCTCTGTAGTCAGGTTGCCAAGCCTGATGCCTGTCTCTATCCTCGGCTTTTTCTTCCCTGCACTGGGCTGAAGGACAGTAACCCCTTCATGGGTGTGTTGGGAGGGCCGCACGAGGCGCCCACAGCCAGAATTTAGCACACACTGTGCACTCAATGAACGTCAAACTCTTAATTACTTATTCAGCTATCCTTTCCCAGAGAGCGTTTATTTGATAAAATTCTAACAAAATGGGGTCTTCGTCTAGAGCAGATCAGTACTAGCAAACTGGAAGCTGAAAAGGTGAAGCTAATTGCTGGTGCTTAGAGAATAGAAAGAAAAGGCCGCTTGGGAAAAGCCAGAGAAAGCACAGAAACAGCCTGACAATCAGGAACCCCCCCTGTGTAGAGGGTCTGTATCAGACAGAGCTCAGTAACTGGGAGCATTATGACAGAGACCATGAATCATCGAGAAAATGTTCGAATCTGTCCCGTGTGTGCAATTTGAAAAGCAATGACTAAGAACCACAGTCATATGCTGGGGTTAAACCCCAGCTTTGTTATTTACTGCATGACTCTGAACAAGTTATTGAATCTCTCTAAATCTTAGTTTTCTTATCTGTAAAATGGGGATGTCAAAAACCCCAAATACAAGCCCACTCGGTAGGTCTGTGGTCAAAATTAAGTGATGTAACAAATGTGGAGTATTTCAGGTCCCTGCCTTCAGTGGGAGAGAATTATAAAGTGTGAGAATTATATTTAAGCAGAGAATTATAAAGTGTGCTTTGGAAAGAGTTCAGTTCACACCATAGGTAACAAATACACTGATATAAAATTCTACAGAAAATTGGTAACATCAGTACAATTTTGGTTCTTTGAAGGATAGCTTTGTGGTCACTGGTGATGCCCTCGTGCAGCACTCTTGGATGCTGCTGAACAAACGTTGCATTTCTGTTTGCGACAAGTGACAATTGTTGGTTCTTACTTTCGCCGTGCAGAGCTGGGGCTTTATCTTGTGTTCTGTGTCTGTCACCGAGGTGGTTGAGGATAAGCAGTCATGCTCACCCCCAGAGGGCAATGTGGGGTAGTGGAGCAGCTCCGAGTCACGTGGACTCTGCCACTGACTCACTGTGTGACCTTAGCAAGATACGTCTCTCTGAGCTTCCATTTCCTCATTTGTCAAGTGACGTGCTAGACCAGGGGCAGCTTCCACCCTTACTAGTACATGACTCCATGGCCAAGCTGGTTTGAAAAATACACATTAGGGGGGAACAAGGTGAGGAGTCACAGATTGAAACCAAGAAGCACAGCTTAGCAGGGTGTGTCATCTCCTTTTGAGTTTCTGGTGCAGAGATGCATTCCTGTCGCCTTTTGGGATAGG